CTACCATGGGATTGCAATTAATAATGCAGGCGCATTCTGAGACCCTCCTTCAAAGATAATCCTTAATTAAATTTATGCTTTACCATAGTATATTATAAATGAATAAAATTGGAATGGAAGCAGTAAGACGCAACATTAGATCAACTAATATTAAAATGTTACCTGTTAATAAAGATAGAAAATCTCATTAAATTTAAGAATAAAATCATTTAAAGTTAGGACCTATAGAAAAAAAGGTAAATAACCTCAATAAAAGCCTAAACGGACGAGTCAAGTTACTAATGTACGGAAGGTTTGCAAATGCTCTTATCACAACTACTCGGCATATCTACACCCCTAATTGTCACACAAATAAGATAAATGGCTTCTAATAGTTATAGATAATTAAATTTTTATTTAATAACTAGCGTCTCGACGAAAAAAGGATCAAATAAGCTTACCAATTAGAAGGCCTAGGGACATCCTCAATGTCTTTATACAATTTTTCCAGTTCAGCACACTTGTCGTCTAGAAACTAGATTTTGATACAAATAATTTCATTGATAAGTAAAAAATCATGGGGAAACGGAAAGCTTGAAATATATAATTTAAAGCTATCGCTGGACTGCCTGGCTTACCTCACGATTAGGAATGGGCTGACTTTGGCAGCTAACAGTAGCAGATATGCGACTTTGCCTAGGCCTAGAAGAAAAGTATTTATCATTGTATTCCGTCGGTAGCTTGGAGGCCACACCTTCTATCCGGATCTGGGTTAAATGGATTTATTTTGTAAATATATTCCAAACGAACTACCTGTCTTTTAAGAGGTTCCCAATAAAATACGAGACCTACACAAGGGTTTTCTAACTATAATCTAAGCATATGATTGGGCTAGGAGTAAATTACCATTTCTTTGGCTTTGCGACTTTCATAATTAGTATAAAAATGAAATCCACGTTCATCAAGGCCTTTCAGAAGAACATAACGAACACTAGGCACTCCGCTTCTGATATAAATTATATAATTGAATAGAAAGGCACTTGGTCGATGTTGCCAAGGCCATCGCATTGGCTTCGTAGACACTAGGGCAATTAACCGCACCTACGAACCATTGTTTAAATAAACCAATAGGCTCTTTATGGACTGTATTAATAAGATCAAAAGTATCTCCAGAAGTCCTGTAAGGAATTCTCAAAGCTAAAGACTAAACAGAAGGAAGGACATACCACTTATGTCCACGCCCGAAGTCATCCTAATACTTAAAACAAACGAAGTAAGGGAACGGAAAAGGCCGGGGTGGAAGAGGTTCATAAGAAAAAGTGATTCATATTTGCCAATAACCCGAACGCAACGTATACATGTTTATACCTGTCTTTTTTTTAATTCGTGGTAATTAAAGTATAAAACAGTATTTACATATTATATTTGAAGTTTGTATTATAGGCATGACCCAGTCCTTCGAACGAGGTTTCTAAGATACGATATATTAACCCATGACAAATATTTATTAGTAATTTATATAGTTGCTCTCTAAAAGTGTCTTATTTAAGTTTTCTTTGTCTCATAAGTATCAGTTAATGACTTTCTGAACTATAGCATTACGCCAAAAGATGAGTAGATTTGTACACAATGAGTTAAGACTGCAGACCTTCGCTTTATGAATGAGCGAAAAACTAGCAATAGTGAGTATCATTGTGGCATATACTGTAGGCATGATATAGTATTATATATACATATATAGTTATTCATAGTTATGAATAATATCTATCATGGGTCAGGACTAATGACCAGTAATTTTTATTGTTAAATACCAGGCACAAAAGGTTTTGGTACTGAACTCATGCGTACACAACGTAAATATACTTAGAATCGTAGCAAAAATACACTAATGAGATGTGTTCACCCTATTTCGTTTAAGGTGATGAAGGACTGGTAGTAGAATTTCCCCACAATAATATGAGTTGAGCTGACGTTTCCATTGAAT